GACTCTGTACGGCGCCGGCGACTTTCCAGCGGGTCATGGATACTGTACTAACGGGACTGAAGTGGCAGAGCTGCCTCGTTTACCTGGATGACGTCGTCGTTTTTTCGCACGACTTCGACGAGCACTTGAAACGGCTTAGGGCCGTGCTCCAAGCCATCAAGACCGCAGGGCTCACACTCAAGCCAACGAAGTGCCGCTTCGCCTACGCCGAACTTAAGTTCCTTGGTCATGTCGTTAGTAGCGAAGGAGTACGCCCTGACCCCGCGAAGACATCCGCCGTAGCCGAATTCCCTCGACCATCGGACAAGAAGGCCATCCGCAGATTCCTGGGGCTGTGCGCGTACTACAGGCGCTTCGTTCAAGACTTCGCAAAAATTTCGGCGCCCCTAACACATCTTACGAAAGACGCCGTGAAGTTTCACTGGGCAGAAGAACAAGAACGGGCGTTCGACGAACTGAAACAAAGACTTCAGACACCTCCGATCCTCGGACATTTCGACCAGCACGCCGAAACCGAAATTCACACGGACGCAAGTAACTCCGGCCTTGGTGCGGTATTGGTACAGGTACAGGAAGGCACGGAGCGAGTTATTGCCTACGCAAGTCGGACACTGTCAAAAGCGGAGAAAAATTACTCCACGACGGAAAAAGAATGTCTCGCGGTTGTATGGGCGATCACAAAGTTTCGTCCGTACATATACGGGAACCCATTCCGGGTGGTCACAGACCACCACTCGCTCTGTTGGCTTGCAAACCTCAAAGACCCTTCAGGACGCCTGGCTCGATGGAGTCTTCGACTGCAAGAATTTGACATGACCGTAGTCTACAAGTCAGGACGGAAACATAGCGACGCCGACTGCTTGTCCAGAGCCCCCGTCGAAACGCCAGACTGTACCGACGTGGATGATGACGAGTGTTTCCTAGGTGCCGTGGACACCAACGACATGGCAGGACTTCAACGAGACGATCCGGAGCTCCGTGCCCTGATTGAGCATCTAGAAGGACGAGGAAGTACCGTTTCTCGTGTCTTTTCACGAGTCCTGCCGACCTTCGCTATTCGAAGAGGTGTACTTTATAAGAAAAATTTTGGAACCAGTAATTCGTCGTGGCTTCTGATAGTCCCCACCAGCCTTCGAGAAGAGATTCTTCAAGCCTGCCACGACGACCCAACTTCAGGACACCTCGGTTACAGCCGAACACTAGCCCGAATACGTGAAAAATACTACTGGCCCAAGCTGCCGAAAACCGTCCATCTCTACACGCGATCGTGCCATGAGTGCCAGCGACGCAAGAAACCGCCGTCAAAGCCAGCAGGTCGCCTTCAGCCGATTCCCCCTCCAACCAAACCGTTCCAGCAAATTGGAATGGATTTGCTGGGCCCTTTTCCACCGTCGACCCTCGGAAACCGCTGGATAATCGTCGCCACAGATTATCTTACGCGTTACGCCGAGGCGAAAGCCCTTCCTTCGGGGACTGCTGTCGAAGTCGCGAAGTTCTTCATCGAGTCCATCGTCCTCCGGCATGGCGCCCCCGAAGTCCTGATCACAGACCGAGGGTCATCGTTCATGGCGCAGTTAACCCAGGAGATCCTTCGTCTAAGCCAGACGGACCACCGTCGGACAACTGCATACCATCCGCAGACAAACGGTTTGACGGAGCGGCTCAACAAGACCATCGCCGACATGATCTCCATGTACGTCGACGTGGAGCACAAGACATGGGACGAGGTATTGCCATACGTCACATTTGCCTACAATACGGCCGTACAATAGACCACAAGAGTGACGCCCTTCCAGCTGGTGTATGGCCGGAAGGTGACGACTATGCTAGACTCTATGTTGCCGCACGATCCAGTCGACGACGGAAGCGATGACGCCCAGGTGGTTGCTCAACGGGCAGAAGAGGTCCGCCAACTGGCAAGACTACGAATTCAAGACCAGCAACATGTCGACGCCGGCCGATACAATCTTCGCCGGCGTGACGCCCACTATCAACCCGGAGACCGGGTATGGGTGTGGACACCAATACGGCGCCGCGGTCTCAGCGAGAAGCTTCTCAAGCGCTACTTTGGACCCTACAAGGTGCTTCGCCGTCTCGGGGACTTAAACTACGAAGTCCTTCCCGACGGAACCCGCCCATCTGCAAGACGTCAGCCGCGACCCGAGGTAGTGCACGTCGTCCGGCTGAAGCCGTATTACGAACGATAGGACTCTCCACTCTCGTCGACGAGTGAACTGTGGACTGTGAACTCCGGCTAGCAATTCTGCTGTCCTTTTGTTTTTTGTTTTCCGTTTTTGTGCTGCATCGGGACGATGCACTTTTAAAGGGGGGGATAATGCCGCGCCCAGGGCTGAGAAAGCAACGCTCAGTCACGGACCTCCAGAAAGTTCTCGTTTATTCATGTACCGCATGTAACTTCTATCATTTATTCCTGCTTTTGTTTTCTAGAAAGTGCGTGTTCATTCTCGCCCGATCACGCGACGCTCGAGCCGCTTTCGCCGAATCTTCGAGATAGCGACGCACTCTAGATAAGAGGCCGCCCGCGACCTTGTCGAGTCAGTTTCGCCTCAGCGTTCGACCTTGCTGCTTCGCCGCCTTCGACGCTCGCGACGCTCTGTTCTTATTTTTCTATTTCCTTTTATTTTTGGCACAAGTTCGCCACATTAAACGTCTATTTCTTTCTGTGTATTTATTGTTTCTTTTGGTCACCACCCGTGACAATATGCCTTCCATGTTTCGTAATGCTATACATATTATTTTACAATAATGAAAGAGGGACATTGAAGACAAACAGACAATACAGGCTTTCGACTTTCAACAAAACGTTGAAAGTCCAAAGACTGCATTGCCTGTTTGTCTTCAATGTCCCTCTTTCGTTATCGCAAATTAGAAACCAATACGCTCAACCATCTAGATATTATTTAGAGTCAAAAACTGGCAGCCACCTTTGTCTCCAAACTCCTACAACATATGGAATGCAGCATTCAAAGGGCCCCCCCAACCCCATCGTCTATGTCTTTTAGAGCACAGCTCTTGGGCGCCCGTTTCCAGCTTAAAGGAGCTGTGCAACGATTTTAACGTTGAAAGAATTGGCATTTTCTGCTTTTGATATTGTTCACTGTGTCACAAATGGTAGAAAACACACCTCCTTTCATCGCAATGTTGCAATTCCGCCGCGTAATAGCGAGGCAAAACTTGGAATATTTCCCGACCTGCAGCCACGAGCGGCGGCCATGAGAAACAAGCGGCGTGACGTCACTTGGGTCGTTGTAAGAAAGATAGCAAGTTGTGCGAATACCTGCTCGATAAAAGGTAACTTTTTTTATAAATCTTGTCGTTCCAACATATATATAAATGCGTCAACACCCTGGTATCATCGACAAAACTTTTATTATACGGAGTTTTAGTGGCGCCATCTATCCTAGGTCCACAAAACCGCGAACAGCCGCCAGAAGCCGGAGGGGGGAGGGACAGCGCCGGACGGGCAAGGACGGGTGGTCACGCGGTCGGGAGCGGATGAGTTCTCGCTGCTCGCTGATGGCTCTAAAGAGAGAACTTTTCCGGAACTCCGCGCCTACTCTAGTGACGTCACTGTGCACGTGACCCGGAAGACGATGCACGAGTTGAGAGGTGGCAAAAACCTGGATCTTTTTCATTTTTTTAAGTAAAAACTAGGGTATCCAGGCAAAATCTGTTTTCTGGAGTTCACTGCAGAAGTGTCAGGCATCAACTTCCACAATTATTTAAGCAAAGCCCTGAATTTGTTGCACAGCTCCTTTAAGCAGCGTCACCATCACCGTAACTGCGAGTTGCATTCTGGGATGTTTGCCACAATGACGTCCCACATGATGTCACAAAGGTCACTAAGGTTACGAGTGACATCACAAAGGTCTCTCGTGAAGGCCACACCGAAAGTCACAACCTTCACGAGTGACGTCACGAGGGTCACAAGGGGAGAGAGGAGGAAGGGAGAGGACGAAACGAGGAGAATGAGAGGAGGAGGATGGAGACGAGGAGGGGGAGGGTATGGAGGAATAGGAGGGGCATACCCTCCTCTCCGTACCCTCCTCCTCCTCCTCCTTAAAAGCTGCACTCTAATTCGGCCTTACAGCAAATTCTAAAGGTCTTTCATTTTTTTTTTTTTGGAGTGCAGCTCTTAAGCGCCCGTTTCCGGCTTGAGCGGCGTCGCTCTGGGCGTAACCGTGAGGTCACGTGACCTCAGGGGGGGTCATGTGACCTCACGGGGGCCACGAAGGGGTGAGGGAGGAGGAGGAGAGGAGGAGTAGCAGGCAGGATGACGAGGTGAGATGGAAAGAGAAGGGGAATACTCCCCCCTCAGCACCCTTCCATCCTCCTCCTCAAGAGCTGCACTCTAATTCGGCGTTACAGAAAGTTGTAAACGGCTTTCATTTTTTATTATGACAATAAACAAGAAATGATTCCTAAGCATCATTTCAAAAATTCTAAAGCTTGGGAACAGCGCATTTACAAAGAAAACAAACAATTTCAAAATGGCAAATTTGAAACTCGCCCAAATTAACAACGTAGATGGTGAAACTGTGCGCTCCTCACCTTCTTAAACAACTTCAAATTGGAAGGGTCGTTTAACCTTCTCTCTCACCCTCTCGTCGAACGTGGCAATCGCAGTGCCCTCAATGGATCTCCGACCGGTGCGATTATTCCGCCCGTGCATCGAAAGCGGCCCCAAAGTGTCGACGAATGACATCGGAAAAGTTGGAGCATCATGCCGTGGGATGTCGCAATACCGGCAGTTAGTGCTAGAAGTTCCGGCACAAAACTCGAGCGAAAACGAGCATCGTCGCTATTGTCATGATATCCCAATTCCTGGCTGCCAAAAGCTTCCAGGACCGTAAAGCTAGGGTGCAACCTCTGCCGCAACACCGCCAGGATAGTAAACGCGCCGGTCGGAGATGCGTTTTAAGCAATGTGGTGGGGGGGGGGGGGGGGCGGTAACCTCGCGGGCCCGACGTTCCACCCACCGAACTGGACGAGCTCGCGCAGCATGCTGGGGCTCTTCTTCCGTATGGCCAGGTGCAGGGGCGAGTTGCCGTGGACGTCCCGGGTGTTCACCGACACGCCCCGGCGGAGCAGGAGCTGCAGCAGCTCCGGCACGGCCGAGCTCACCGCATCGTGCAGGAAACGCTTGCCCTGCAGCACCTTGGCCCCCGCGTCCAGCAGCAGCTGCGCCATCACCACGTCCACCTTGGCCACCGCCACCCACAGGGGGCTGCGTCCTGTCCACGGGAGAGAACAAGGTTTCAGGAAACCTGGGCAGTTGTAAAGAAAAAGAAGGGGCATGCAATGCCCCTTTCTTTCTCCCCCAATATTTTAGTCACATGGGCACCCTTGACTACGGTTGAGTGCGACCGAGGTCAGACTTGACTGCGGTTAGGGGTGTTCATGTGTTTATGTAACTGCGGTATAGTTGGTAGTAACTGCTAAACCTACTTAAGTGTGACTGCAGCTTGGGAGAACATTCTTAGATATATCAGTTGTCGAGCTCCACGGACAAGCGGCACTCAAAAACAGTTCTTCTTTGTTGCCCGCACGCGAGAGCAGGTACGGACAGATAGCGTGCCCACGCAAAAGCAGGTACGGACGGATAGGAGAAGGACAATTCTTGAGTGACACCCTTTTGGTCCAAACGTTTGCATAAACATAATGTTTATCACAAAAATGACCGCATCTCCACGTGGTGAATGATGTTGACTGGGGCGAAGCTCTGGTGGTGCTTGTCTGCGTAGACGCTGAGCCGCAGCATGCCGAGCCTTTCGTTCGTTTTCATCCATGTCAGAAAGAGAATGTGTGGTATGGAACGCGGTTATATACGCATTTCAGCATTTGACTGCAGTGCCCTCTCGTCTATAAAAGTTGAGCCAATGCATGCAAAGTTGAACACGGTTATATGCGCATTTGATTGCAGCGCCCTCTCCTGTATAGACGTTGAGCGGCTACATGCAACGTTTCATCCATGACATCCCCAGCTCTTGAGTTACTACCACGTCTCAGAGCCCCCTACTCGTCCTGCAGTCGCGGCCGAGTGGTTCAGGCAATGGACTAGAAATCCATTGGGGTCTCCCCACACAGGTTTGAATCCTGTTAACTGCGCAAACAATTTTTTTTTTTTTAATCTTTTTTTTTGCTTTACACGAGCACGTGAGCTCAAGAGCACGATCACGAGCACGAACACCAGCAAGATCGATGTGAGCACAGACGCCAGACAGACAAGGCTGGACCCTAAGGAGCTTTGCCCCCAAAATCGCGATTGATTCACTTTTCTTTGGAACCGACGTGAATTCAACACTTTACCGGTTCTTCCCATGGGATGGGCCGACAGCGTACCGAGCGCCATTGAGTGGACGCGCCACGGAAGTGCACCAATTGTTCTCTAGGTAGTGCTGCACATCTTGGTCGTCTCGGTTCTTTGTTGGTCTATACCAAAATGTAATCGACAAAAAAAACCTGCTTGAAGCTCTGTACTTTTTTCACCTATTACGTCCAAGCTGATTACATTTTTTTGTGATTATATTTCTATTACGTTACTAGAGCCTCGCACACTAACTCCCGAGTGTGCGATGCAAGATTAAAATGATACCCAGAAACCCGTTGCTGGTGCCCTGAAGTCGCTCACGCAAATTTTGAGGAATGTATTTGAAAACATATTCGGAAGAGACTAAATACATTTGGGTGTACTTGTATCTTGTACTTAAACGCTTTTTTGGAAATGCAACTAGATTTGTAATTAAATATATTTTTGACGAAGTATTTTCTATTTGTATTTCGATACATATTTGCATGTATTTTGGCCATCCCTGCTTGAAAGGATGTGCAAAGTTAAAAGATCAATGTCACGAAAACTTCGTCACGGAAGTGACGTTACACAGATAACACCGGAGCGCCGACTGAATAGGTGACCGGCGTTTTGCAGCAGCTGCCCTATGGGTATTATTTACTTCCAGTTCGTAGCTAGCAGCCGACGCACCACCATGGCGGTCATGGAAGCGTGTGTTGAACACCCAATCAATTCGACCCACCTCCATCTGCTGCTGGTTGAGTTACGAATTTCTGATCGCCTCAAGTTACTTTTACAGATATGTTAAGTAGGAATTTGTATGCAGAAGCATCGAGAACGGCCATGAAAGCGTGGAGTGAGTGCAACCAGTGGCAATTTGCACTTGCACTGCACTTTCCAAATCGTCACATGAAAACTCGGGCTAGGTTAGCTATTTTGTTTTTCTTTTGAGCCAGCATTCTCTATTGGGTTTTGTTTATTTTTTGATAGTTCCACTAGATCACATCACCCACTGAAATAGGTACAAATGCAAGCCGTGGGTCACGGCTAGCTGAAATGCCCAACAGACCCTTTCCGGAATTCAGTCTGGCCACTTTGATCATTATCATCATCATCTGAAAACGGGGTATGTGCTATACTAATGCGGCCTTCTGTTTACTGATGAGGGAAGAAGTTGAAGATGCTCCTAAGCAGATGATTCGAGGCCTATACATGCTAGATGTTAGCGCGGCGTGAAGCAGAAATTGAACGCAAGAGCTGCGTAAGCATTCATTTCTAACTCGGTCCCAGTCAATCTGTTAGTAGCACTAACTCGGCTTCAAAGCCCCTTGATGTATAGAACTCTATCAAGGCGTCTATGTGGGTTGGCGCTTCGTTCCGACTGGCTGCATTTGTTTCGCCATCGACACTAAAAGAGATTGAAGAATAATTGTAGTGAAGTGCACATTCTCGTTTACCGTGGACCTTTAAGTGACGGAGCCCTATTAAATATTGCGGACCACAGGTTCATTGCCGCCATTAGTATAGTAAAAGATAAACTGCCATTTGAGTCACCAGATGGCACTGAATTCCGGAAAGGGTCTACTGGAGCTTTGGCGTATTTTTGTCATTTTTGAAAACACCTGAGACTGGGTGAGAAAATCTTGAAACAACCAAAAGTTGAAGAGAGGAAAAAGAAGACAGTCTGATGATGTCTCAAACTTTTTCTCAAACAAACAAACAAATTTCCCGTTGCCATTTGTATGCCTGCAATAAGAAACAAGCCCGCTTTTAACAAAAAGCTACAGGAGGCCCGCCACAGATAGAGCGAAAAAAAGCTACAAAACATACCGTAAAATCCCGTGAAAATGCTCACCCAAAATGAGGCGATATATGGTGAAACACATGGGGTGGGCTATCTTTTGGGATGCCACAGCAAAACTTTAATAAATACTAATGATAAGCACCGGGGCACTCGCTACAAACCACGCGATGCAGGAACTGATACTGCAGATGGTGGACACGGCAAATTCGCGTTTCACGATAGAAGAGACACACGGGAATTCGCTACAAACTCCTGTGTCACGGGAACGGATACCACAGATCGCGGACGCAGCAGATTCAAGTTTTATGGTGCAATAAAGACGCGGGAACCCGCTACAACCTTGCCTGTCAAAAAAATTTATATCGCGCGCAGATCGCGGACAAAAACGCGGGAATACGGTACGAACTCGTATGTCACGGAAACAAATACCGCAGATCGCCAGAATCTCATTTCACAATGCAATACCCTATACACATGGGAACAACTTGCGCGTGTTACAGGTAACAATTGATGTCACGCACGCAGATCTCGACAAAAGCACGGGAATTTGCTAAAAACTCTGGACTAAATAGCACAAATTGCGAACGCAGCAGGTTCGCATTTCACGATGCAATATACACGTGGGAACAACTCGCGTGTTATGGGAGCCGATATCACGCGAGCAGATTGCAGACAAAAACGCGGGAGCCCGCTATGAACTAGCTTCTTGGACATACCGGTCACGCAGATCGCTCTGTTGATGCGCAATTCCTGTCGAACATCGCTTGACGTCCAATGGAAATCGGGGAGTGGGCGATGTTTCAGGAGGGGGCTTCCTTACGTATTTTACGGTACTCAAATTAAGTGCAAAAAAAAAGCTATTTACAGAATATTTCTACAAAATAACCACGAAAACAAACTACTGCGTACCGATTTAACGCAACTAAGGCGACCGCCACGCATTGTCTGAGCGAGAGAGGAATTCGCATTGTCCGTTAAGTTGTCTTCTCCATAATACGCATGACGTGCACCACTGCGCATGTTATGCGGGAAATTTTGGGTTTTCGGCCATTCCCGTCTGCCCCGAAGGTGTTTTTTCTCCTCTGTTTAGCCATCCGAGTACCGACCTACTCGAAAGTACACGGACTACACAAAACCCTACCTGACTGAACCTATTGCTGCCGACCGTGACTATCCCTGGATTCTGTGAAATATGTCACTCCCTGAACCACCAACAATAAAAAGAAAGGTCCCGTCACTGAAGGTGAAAAGGTGAAACGGACCCTCCTGAAGACGTTCGGCTTTGCTTGCAGAAATCCGCGATTGCCAAGAAGTATGAGGTAACTCTGTTGACACTGTCAACAATAATTAAGAATGCCGACAACATTGACACGGTGCTAGACAACAATGCTACCTGCGCAGATTGCAAGAAACTACTCAAGCCAATATACGAGGATGTCGAGGCCGCACTCTTTCAATGGTTTCTGGACACGTGTGCCAAGAGCGTCCCGATCAGCGGTCCGATTCTTACCGACAAAGCGTGCAACCTGGGGTTCATCTTCGGGCACGACTTCACGCCTGGAACCGGCTGGTTGCAGAGGTTTAAGGACCGACACAGCATCACCTGCAAAAGCATTGTTGGCGAGGCCGCGTCTGTCGACGACACGGTACTCCAAGGTTGGCTGAACAAACATCTCAACCGAATCTTCGCCATGTATGCCGACTGCGACATTTATAATGCAGATGAGATGGGAGTGCTCTCCCAGCTGCTCCCGGCCAAGACGCTTCCATCAAAAGACGACAAGTGCGTCGGCACCAAGACGAGCAAGGAGCGTGTCATGGTCCTGGTGTGCGCGAATACAGACGACAGCGAGAAGCGCAGGTTGCTGGTCGCCGGAAAATCCCATAAACTGCGGGGCTTTGCTGCCATGGTTTCGCTTCCTGTGACGTATGTGCAAAATGGGAAGGTGTGGATGACATGGGAGCGCCTTCAAACATGGTTGACCATCTTTGACAACTACGTGGCATGCAAGAAATGGAAAGTTGTGCTTCTACTAGATAACTGTAGAGCACATCACATCAATCCTCTGCTTAACGCCGTGGAAGTCCTCTTCCTGCCGCCAAACACCACGCCAAAGCTTCAGCCGATGGATGTTATT